TTTTGCATGTGTTGTTTTCTACCAATACTTACGTAATCTTTTTTACCAGGCATTTGTCGAGTAAATTCTTCATCATGGTATATATTGTTGACTCTATTTAATGTTATTTCTGAAAATGTTTTTCCTTTCTTAGTGCCTGGAACTGAAAAAATCCCACTCATTTTCTTTAGTTTGCGCGCTTCTTTAATTTGGTATATAGTGACGTTGAAATATCTTGCAGCAAAATTTCTTGACCAAGACTTGGGTGTAAATGTTAATAACTGAATTTTAGTTTTTTGGTCAGAAACAATTAACTTTTCTTTTATTTCTGCTGTTAGTTTGTCTAAATCATCACATTTACTTTTGTCAATATTTTTCGTATGAGGAATTTTATGCTTCAGTTCTTCTTCCCTAACATTATATACTTCTGAAATATGCTCTTCATACTTTGACATTATTTTTATAACTTTACTTTTAGCAACAGATAGCCGTTGATGCTTTGGAATGCCATGAAGTTTTATGGGGGATACACCTATTGTTTCCAAACTAACATTTAATGCCTCTCGTGACTTTTCAGAAGTAGCACATGAAATAGATTCCTCAAATTCACAATTATCTTGTTCATGAAATTTACTGATTATAGCGTCAAAGCAGCTCCGACAAAGTTGATATCCAGGCACAACATTTGGAAAATTAATTCTCAATTGCTTTGCCATGTCTAATGTTATTACATGACTCCCTGAAAAGAAAAGAACAATTTGATTTTAGTAATTACCTATGAATATGAAAATTATTTGTACTTATTTCCATATACATTGCATAACCAGATCAGCTTTTTTTCAAACTTTTATAAACTAGTAGATTTTAATTTCATTATTCAAAAAAGATTTTACAATAATTTTTTATCAACAATATTTACCTTTGATTGCTTTTTTTTTTGATTTATGCTTGTCCAATAAATTGCAACATTTTGTGTGCTTCTTTTCAAAGTGTGTACCAAAAATCTTTTCATGATGAAGGCAGATTGTTAAAATTTTATCATCTTTTATTCCAGATCTCCAAATAAATTCTTCTCTGGCATCTTCTCTATAGCAATCAAATTTCTTTAAATCAATCTTTCTACAATAACTTAGTTTATGACAAGTATCATTTAATTTTTTTCCAAAATCACATGAATCCATTCTTACTGTAACACTAAAAACATTTTGATATTAGTTTAAAAATGAGAAACCAATAGTAATTAATTCAATGAATGCAACTTAAGCAATCACCATGGTAATACAAAACTAAATAGTGATTGATTTCTTTTATCTTACTTTGACAAAAAGAAAGTTTCCTTTTCACAAAGTTTAATTATAATCAATTTGTTAATGTTAAAAATGTTAATGGTGACTTTAATAGGTAACAAATTTCTTCTATACTAGTGTAATGACAGGATGTTTTTTGTTCCTGTAAATAGTTCTTATTCAATAAAATAACTTGCTGTTAACATTTTAGAATTAGCAAATATCAAATAAAATAATGATTTTGAAAAATTGATAAATTTCTTTTTTATTGATATAATGTTATGACAGGATGTTTTTTTCTGTTGAAAGTTAATTAAACAACTTGCTGTTACCATTTTAGCATTAAAATATATTAATCTTTTTTAAATTAAAATTTTAAATTATACAAAATAAAATTATGGTAAAACCATTATTTTAGACTGTTTTTAATTTTATACATGCAAATCAAAATTCTTATAAACATTAACTTTCTTAAAACATTTTAAGAAAGATCATTGAACATAGAATGATCAAAAACCAAATTGAACAAATATAAATCACAAAAATTTGTGGAAGCAATGTTACCAAAGATATGTTTAACATTGTTAAAAATAAAAATCTAAAAAAAAATTTTGAAGACAATAGTTTCATGTGTTAAAATATGTTAAAAAAAAAAAAAAAAAAAAATTTTTTGAGAAAATAAGTGGGGCATGGTCCCTGGTGCCCCAGCCCCATGGACCTTCTAGTCGTCTGACCTGAAACTATTTTAAAGCATGTTCATCAGGACTACACAAATGCTGAAAGTTTTAAAGCTCACGCTTGTCTGGAAGATACTGAAAAATCCATCTCAAGATTCCGGTCAAAAAAGTGGGGCACATCCCCCCAGCCCCCTCCCCTAGTGTCTTGGGCCCTTTTTTAATTTTAAAATGCACATTTATCGACACTACATAAATACCAAAATTTTCATCGTTCCAGCTAGTCTGAAAGGTAGTGAAAAATGTATGGCAAGATTCTGCTACAAAATAGTGGGGCCTGTGCCCCGTTAACCATATATGGAAATCCATATACTTGCAGATCAAAATTTTTATGTTTTCTGAAAGATCATTAAACATAGAATAATGTGTACAATTTTTTTTTTTTATATCATCAAGGCCACATGGCTTTCTTGAGCATCAAAACCAGGTATATAAAAAATTGCCTAAATTTATTTAAATTGATAATTACAAGTACTTAAAAATTTTTTTTTACATTTCTGATTATTTCATTGGATTCTTCAACCCTGAAAATAGCCAGGTACAAATTTTTAAGTTAAAAGATCAAGTATTTTTAAAGCTATGTGACTTGAAACCTTTAAACAAAGGTCACACTTCTGAGGGGACAAGAGGGGCCTGGCCAAGATCAGTTAAAAGTAAAATGATCATATTTCATGATCCTCTTGGAGCTAGAAGCTAAAATTTTTAAGGATTTTTTGTTTTACTAAGTACTCTCAACTGTATAAAAATCAGCAAAATCTGAGATGTATGGTGACATGGCCTGGCTCAATTGACATGGAATTACTCTGTATAAAACATGCAAAAATATACAAACTTCGTGTTTTTAATTTGATGGTTATAAAACATTAAACAGTAAACATATAATCAAAATTTATAATGCCAACTTGTGTTGTTATTAATTGTACTTTTAATGCAAAACCAGGATCTCACATATCCTTTCACGTATTTTCATATCTGATACTACTGTCAACTGTATTGTTTAGTGTATTCTTGTACTTTTTTTATATAAACTTAACAGGTTCTAATTGGTATGGAGTTGCTGACATTTCAAAAATTTCATTATCAAAAATCAAATGTAAAATAAAATGATATTTTTTTTTTAACCGTATCCAATTCAGCAAAATTAGCAATTTAAATTAAATCAGCGTAATCAAAAAATTTTTATTATAAAAAAAGTTAACAATTCATCAAATATCTCTAATTAATACTGTCAGTTTATGAAAGTAATTTTTAATAAATACTTTTTTTTCGGCGGAAAAACAAAAAATGTCATAGAGTAAAAATAACCAGAGAAGTTAGAAAATAGTTCCGATTGTTTAAATAAAATAAGTAAGAACCAGAATATATAATATTGCGCTCTCTTGCACAAAATCAAGAGATGGTATATAAAATGTTCTGTATAATGTAAAATACTTGTATGAAAATTGTAAAATTGGTAAGTAAAGCTTTAATATTTGTTTTAATTTAAAAACAAAAGAAATAAAAGTTAGATATATAAATCTAAAAATTATTAAGATATCTGTAACAAATAAGTTACTCCTATAAAATAAAAATAATTTATTATTTTTACTTTTTACAAAAAGTTTTTTGAGATGTTTGGAAAAATAATACAAATAAATTTGTTTTGCTGTGTGTTAAAAAAATACTCCATCGTACTTTTTGAATTAAAGTAGAAAAACGCAGCTTTGTGTAATTACACTTTTCACTTGTTAAAAGTCTACCTTGATGTCAAATACTAAAACTTTTATGAATAAAATGCGTTTCAAAGGAACCGCCGAAGTCTGTAGATTGCGGCATATAATTTAAAGACTCCAAGTTTTTGAATAAAATAGAGAAGGCAAGCTTCAGCTAAAACAACAACATTAGTTTTGCTCGGTATGCATTCATTATTTATTTTTAATCAAAAAAACTTGGTTCAAACCTTTTTTTTTTTAACATTATCTTTAATATAAACACAACATGTGTTGGGAGTTTAGGATTCCTTTAAAGAACAGAGCAATAATAAATTAGTGAAAACACTTATCAATACACTTATCTTTATCTTTTTCTTCAACATGCTGTTCCTCCTTCTGTAAGCTCATCAGGAAGCAGGAGGTTTGCTGAGAACATACAATGTACAAAAAACATTAAAAGATTGCAAATTCAAATCTGCTGAAGTGTGTGTGTGTGTGTGTGTGTGTGTGTGTGTGTGTGTGTGTGTGTGTGTGAACGCACAGAAAAGTGCTGGCCGGACAGTAATTATTTGTCTGGCATGCGCGATTTTAAAAATTATTTGTTTTTTGTACCTCTCTAATTAGAATTTGAATAAGAAAAAAGATTTGCTGCAATTAAAAAACACACTTAAAACTTTTATGCGAGCGCTTAACAAAGTTTCAGCCGTAGTATTGGCAGGCATGTGGGTGAGCGCAAAACTGCAATAGTGCGAAAGCGCTTGTCAAACGGAGAAGACTGTGTGTATGTGTATATATATATATATATATATATATATATATATATATATATATATATATATATATATATATATATATATATATATATATATAACACACGCACACATACACACACACACTTCAGCAGATTTTGAATTTGCAATCTTTTAATGTTTTTTGTACATTGTATGTTTTAAAATTTGACTTTAATCCAAATCAGTTTTTCTGACAAAGTAAAAAGTATAACAAAAAATAATAAAAAATTTATATATAATTTGGATACAATTGTATAGTCCTTTATTTGTAGATACTGTCTGCCTAAACCCTTAGTTGATGTGTGTGCTAAAACTCCAAATATGGCGTTATTGTTATCACTTTGAATTTAGGGGACTATGTGAGGTGTTGGGTTTCAGTGTCTTATTTTGTTTATAACATGTTTATACCTATATATACTTTCTACCTATTTATAATTTTTTTTTTTTAAATTTTACCTTATCTACCTTATTTATGACTATTTGTAACTTACCTATATGTAATTTTTTCAAATTTTCTAGTGCTGCAGTGTATAGAAGTCAAATGGCTGAAGTAAAGTCTGATGTTTCCAAAGTTAATTTAGTAGGTATTTATTATCAATAATATGAAACACGAGCATTTTGTGTGTGTGTGTGTGTGTGTGTGTGTGTGTGTGTGTGTGTGTGTGTGTGTATTAATACACCAATATTTATGAATGTTGCCAGAGTGAATTGATTCATTAAAGACTTTTTTTTAATATTTCTTAGCATTACTCTTTTGTTATTTGATTTAAATTTAATTTAGGTTGCAGATTTAGGTTGGGTACTAATATATTTTTTCTGCTTTAATTCTCTTTTAAAAGCCAACTTTAGTCAAACACTTTTTCATGCAAAAAAAAAAAAAAAAACTTTTTTTTATTATTTCTTCAATAAATGTATTTCATATGCAGATAGTACCCATGCTTATACCCAAAGTTCATGTCTTGCAAATTGTTACTGATTTTTATTTACGCTATCATCATAGGCGATATTTTTGTTCATTTGTTTTTATTCATCATTGGTGTATTAATATCGGTTGTTTCCACTTTTAAATACTTACAATTTGGCTTGTTTTCTCCTGTTAATGTCATCCTCCTTATCTTATCCATAACATATTTTTCAAGTTTTATGGCCTTATCGATTTTCTCTAAATAAAAATGTCAAAACCCAATATCTCTCTATGTTCTACATCTACAAACCACTTTGGCTTTTCCTGTTTCTTTTAATTAAATCCTTAATGCTAAGTTCTATTAAATGCTAAAATCCTGAGATTCAATGTTATCTCCTAAATGCTAAACAGCATCTTAATACTAAAATTATACAAGTTTATTACTACAATCTTAATCCTCTCTTTTATTACTTCTCTTTTTTTATCTTAAAGTTATGTTGTCCAAAAAAAATTAAAATTAATATATTCAGTGATGTATCCAGAAATTTTTTGGGGCATACCGGTCTAAAAATCCTGTCTACCCTAGAGGAATAATTTTTTTTTCACTAAAATTTAAATACAATTATTTGTATATAATATATAACTCACCCTAGTCTTTTAGGCTTTTTCTAACAAAAATTTAAATAACTAACCAAAATAATGTTACATTTATTATAGAGCGACAGCTTTAACTCCAACATCGATTTATCGCTAATTGCTACTTTTCATTAACTTGCTCCATTCACTTACTATTTATAAATTATAATTAATACTATTTATTAAGTTATTAAATTCAAAATATTAAATATTATTAACTAGAAATATAAAGAGTATGATTTCATAAACAAGCAATAACTATAACGTTTAATAAACAATATTTGTATGACTCTTTGATATAAACTTGATAAGATTTATTACATACCGTATTTATAACAAGGTAAATTCATTCGAAATTTTAATTATTTCATTCAAAAATAAATAACTTTTTTTTATAGTTCTACTCTTACTATTCAATTTTTTTGGCACAAATATTAAAATACTATTTTATTATTTAAATAAATGTTATTTTAATTTTATGTTTTAAAAACATTCATTCGTTTTATTATTTAAAGTATTTTTAATACAATTTTTACTGTTATTGGAAATGAAAAAGTTTAAAGCTCATCTAGTTTAATCGCTTCAAAAATTATGTTATGAAAACATAAGCGGAGGAGAAACTCAAATTAATATATTTTGAAAATGTTATTTAAAAATGCTAAGTGTTTCATATTTTAATCCAATCAAAACGTGCGTTTTACATTTAATCCAATTACAACATATTCTATATTTCATCAACGTAAATTCGAATTAAGCATTTTGGTTGGCTTAAAATACATTTATAATGTATTTTAAAAATCTTTTTTTAAATGTTGGTATTTTTGTGATCATAACAAATGCTAATATAAAACTGTTTTAAATTGAGTTTGGGCTGAAATGTGGGGGCCCATACCGGTATACCGGTATCAAAATCAGCCTGGATACGTTGCTGATATTGGTAAAGGAAAAGGAAGGGCGAAAGAAGATGTTAAAGAAGTTCAATTTTATTATAGAGAAATTGTCCATCCCTGACAATTGCAGCTTCCATCCCTGACAATTGCAGCTGCACATAAGTTTTATATTTTTAAAATTCAAGAGATAATAAAAGCTTTTAAGATTAAGATGATTTGTACAAATAAATAAAAAAGAAGTCTGAAAAATGTAAACTAAACTATACATGGGTAGACGTAGTGAGTTTACTTAACAAAATCATTAGTGGGTGTAGTGAGTATACTTATATTGTTATTGAATTCACAGCTACACTTTTTGTGTAGTTGCAAATTCATTTAAAAACATTCTGACAACCCATCAAGTTATTTATAACTTCTTTTTCTTAATAAATTTATCAAGAAGTAAGAAAAAAATTTTCTTTTGAGATATTGTTTTATGATTTTATGTTTTAGAGTCAAGATGATTGGGGCACTAATGATTGGGTGTCAGATCCATTCTCACAAAATAATATCAGTAAGTAAGTGTTTTTAATTTTAGTTTCACCAATTGTTATGCTTTAAGATATTGTTGAAAGATATGATTAGAATAACATAATATGAAAGATATTATTTGAATTGCCTCCCTAAGATTTTATATTGTTGTTTTTTTTAAAGTGATGAAACTGAAACAGCTGATTCTCAAATTTCAAAGTTAGAGTGCATTGAAATTGAACAAAATACAAAAGATAGTTTAGATATCTCTTGTTTTCGCCCATATTATGTGTAAGCTGTTTACATACTTTTACATACTCTATATATTTACAAAAGCATGTGTTTATACTTTTTTATTTGCATTATTTATGTACGCTTGCATATATTCTCGTGCATGTATTCTTACATACACTTCCATATCTAATCTTGGATATATACCCAGCAAGCACAATCAACGTTGAATCAACGTTGAAAAACCGTTGAAATTTATTGTTGAAAAATGGTTGATTTTTGGTTGAAATGGAAACACAAATCAACGTTAAAAAAAAAAAAAATTTAGATCAACGTTGAAAAATCAGCGCTAGATTAACATTGATTCAACCAACTTATATATGAGTTTGTAAGCTTCAAAAATACAACTTTTTGCGCCTTGACTCTTTTAATCTGAAAAAACATATATGTTTTGTACAATATTGTGTTATTATTAGTAGGAAAAGAAACAATAATTCTTCATAAACTTATAATAGCTGTCATAGTACAATATCTTATGCTATTATACTGCACATCATGTTCTCAATTTTTACAGCTTTTATTATTAGTAGTAGTTTATTATAACACAATTATTATATAATTATTATTATTAGTATTAATTTATTTTATATTATAATACTTACTGCTGTTATTTATTAGAAGTATTAATTTATTTTATATTATAATACTTACTGCTGTTATAGTATTACAAATAATCTGCCCTGTACCTTTTTTTAACGCAGGTAACATAATTATAGAAATTGAAAAGCCATTATTAAAAGTAAATAAAACCAAAAAAATAATTTATACATTTTTAGAACAAAAATTGATACGAAATTAAAATTATTTTCAAAATTATCTTGATAAAATCATGATATCTTTATCTTCAACACCAATGTCAAATTCATATGTATTTTTCTTGCCTGCTGTCATCTCATTTTGATTCGACTCATTTTGATATGATGCACATTTTCACGATCCAATCAATATGGTGCAAAGTTGAAACAGTTTAAATTCTATCTTTTTGCATTGTGTCTTTTTATTTAAGAACATCAGGTAACTGCATCTAAATAAAAATAACTTTAAATTAAGTGTACATTTGGTAAATTAAAGGTACATTTGTACATTTTAAAAGTATTATTATACTTTACATTGTTCACAAGCGAATGTGAACATTAAGTGATCAATAGTGAGAAAAAAAACAACCCATAACTGATCCATGCCTAGTTTACTTAATTATTAACCGAGATAAATATATATTATACATTAACGCCAAATATACATTATACATTAACGTCATACATCAACGATATACACACATAACAAAAACCTTTTAGGCAGTTATACATTGCTTAAGTCAAACATTCGTTTAATCATGGCAAAAAAATGTGACAAACAAAACAAACTCTTATTTAAAATCTTTAAAACCAGACATAAAAACAACTGAGAGGTTAGAATTATTAGACAAACTAATCTAGACTAGTCTATACAAATGTGATTAGATACTCAACGGATAAAAGAAGAAAGAAAGTTAGGGAAAAAGCTGTTTGTAAACAGCTTTGTCCCTAACTTTCTTTCTTCTTTTTAATAAATCTGTTAAGAAATCTTAGCTCTAATTTGAGCATACTGTTAACAACTTTTAATAACTTTTTCTTTTTTTATTAGTGCTAACTTTTTTATAGATACTATAAGTAAGAAAATAATAAATAATTAATAGAATTAAAGTAAATAAATAATAATAATAATAATAACATTAATTAAAAAAATAATAATAAGAAATAATAAATTTGTTTAACAAATTGTCATCTATGCAACTTAATGATTTAGATTATATTATGAGTAAATAAAAAATATTAGCAAAAAATTGTCATGAATGGTGTAATATTGACAAATCCAAGACAATTATCTATGATGGCAGAGTAATAAAAGTTAATTAAAAAAGTCATGATTTATGATGGAATTTCATTTATACAAACAACATTGTCTTTTGACTATACAAACCAAAACATACTGGTCTACACTACAGTTTCATAATTATAATAAGACTTTGTATATATATATATATATATATATATATATATATATATATATATATATATATATATATATATATATATATATATATATAAACATCTTTAAATGATTTGAATATTGATCTTTAAATTAAAGATAAATATGAAAATCATTTAAAGATATTTATATATATATGTAAAATATACAAAGTTTCTCCTCCTCCCTCTCCCCCCCCCCCCCGTCCCTTCCTTTTTTTTTTATTGCTAGTTATGATAGAGAATTTTATGCTGGGTAAGAATCATACAAAAACATTGGTCTGAAAATTAACAGAAAGTGCTCTAATTTGATGTTGAAGTTTAAAAAATTACACTAAAAAACGCTAATATTCGCCATTTTATAAATACGTTTTACATCAATGTTTACATTTTAAAATCGATCGTAAAAAAAATCTTTTTTTTAATTACGCGACCCGGTTTTTATTGTCATTAAAGTTAATTTACTATTGAATTAAATATTTTCATGAATGTCTTTTATATAACTTTAATTATTTTTATTTTTAAATTAATTCAAATATTGCTTTTTAAATGTACATAAATCGACTGAAAAATAGGGATTGGCGCAATTAAATGTACATACATCGAGTGACAATGGAATTGGCACAACTAAATGCGCATACATCGACAGACTAATAGGGATTGGCACGATTAAACGTACATGATTTGGGACAGGGTTAGGGTTTTGGCAAGGGATAAATTAGAAAATGATGCGTTTAGCATTCATAAACAGTTTTGCATTTTTAAAAATCATCTTCGATTTCACCAAGCTTTTAAAAATCATCTTCGATAAGAGTTTTAATTATAACCGAAAATGAAAAAATGGCAAATATTAGCGTTTTTTAGTGTAATTTTAACATCAAATTAGATCACTTTCTGTTGATTTTCAGACCAATGTTTTTTACGATTCTTAATTAGCATAAAATTCTTTCAGCAATAAAAAAAAAAGAGGGGGGAGAAGCTGCAAAGTGTTATTATAGTTATAAAGACTTTAATTTATCTTCAGGGTATAAAAAATATAAAATATAAATTCATATAAAAATTTATATGAATTTGCAGCAGAGGCGTAGACGGAATTTTTTGTTGTTTGAGACACGGACCAAACTCCAAACATTTATATTTTTATACTTAAGTCAAATAATGAGGCTTTGCAAAAAATTGCGATGATCGGAGGCTGGGAACAAAAAAGCCCCAAAATTCTCGCCCCTATGCCCCAAGCGTGAGAGCAACATGTTGATGAAATATTTTTTGTACTATTCTTAACTAGACTTATATTCATCGATAAATTTTAAATTTCATAGTAAAATATTTTAGCGTTCAAAAATTATGACCGTATCAAGTTTAAACACCCTCAATTTGAGGGGTTACAAAATTTAAACGGTCATACTTTATGAACGCTGAAAGATTATACTATGAAACTTGAAATTTATCGATGAATATAAGTCTAGTTATGAATAGTACAAAAAATATTTTATCAACTTGTTGCTCTCACGTTTGGGGCAGGAGGGAGCGAGAATTTTTGTTTTTTTTTTGTTCCCAACCTCCGATCATCGCAATTTTTTGCAAAGCCTCATTTTTAACGTTAATTCAACGTTTGTTTTTAGTTGAAAATCAGCGTTGAATCAATGTTAAAATTTCAACGTTTTTTTTTAACGTTGAACTAACGTTGAAATTTAGATCGTTATTTTTCAACCATATATCAACCATTTCTCAACGTTGAAAAAACGTTGAAATAACGTTATGTGCTTGCTGAGTATCTATATACGTTAGCATATACACTTTTCAAAAAAGTATTATAAATGGCCACTGTTAATATGTGGTCATTCAAATGCCTGTTTTTGTTTCCAGTTTTGTGTTGAATGAATCAGAGGTGTCTTATACAGATAACAGCTCTTATGAACAGCGGATGTTTGAACAGTATGTTGTTAAGGAATTCAATCAGGTAAGTTTGAATAATACAGAAGGACAATCTGAAATATATGAAAAAACACAAGTAAAACATGGTGACCATGCATTTCATCGTTTTAAAAAGATTATTTCAAATTCACCAACACAGTGCATGAGGTAAATAATATGTTAAATTATTTTTACAAGTTTGGTTATAACAGCACATTGTTGTGCAAGATTTTGCGTACTTTGTTGCACTTTGTTATGTACTTTGTTGCACTATGTTGTGCAAGATGTTTTGTTGTTTGAAATGTAAAAAGACTATTATACTATTGATTTTCATAGGTATAAACGAAACGGGGAGCCTTTAATATTGTCAAGTATCTCTAGACCAACTGCACCATTTGAAAACGTTCCACCCTGTTCGTATTGTGCTAATAATCGAGTATTTGAAATGCAGTTTATGCCTCATATTACCACATGCTTGGTAGAGATGGAAAAAAAAATCAATAAAGATAATATGGAAGCTACAAGTTTGAATACAGAAAGTTTTTTGTTACCGAAAACTAACCCTACGGGAAATAAACAAGTGTGTTTAGATTTTGGTTGTCTCTATGTGTTTACATGCAGCATATCTTGCTGGAAGGATGGCGACTGTGCTAAAAGTGAATACGTCATTATTCAACCTGACCCAGACGAGACTATTTTGTCTGATATGTTAAAAATTTATTGATTATAGTTGACGTTTATGGTTGATTTTTAACAAATAGTTTTAAATTGTTTCATTAAATAAATTATGTACAGTTTTATTTTTTTAAATATTGAAAATTAAATGAACTGTGTTCATTAACATTACCATTAAAATTACCATTTATTATATGAATTATGTACAGTTTTATTTTTTTAAAGGTCAAAAATCCATCTCGTAAGCGGCTGTAAAAATTATTTTTATGTCAAGAGTATTTTTCTGATAATTTTTTACGGCATGTTTATCTTATTTATCTTTCAAATGCATCTGATGGACAAACACAATTATCTATAACATGTAGCTAGCGAAAATGCTGCCATATTAGCGAAATAAAAATAATCATAGCTAACAGTTTATTATATATGTTTATATCATAAATAATGATCCAAGGTTTTGCGACATAGCGTTAATTTAATTTATGCTATTTAGTGCCTATATAGCAATTCAGCATTGCACAGTGGGCCATGAGCTAAAAGTCGAAGTTATTATAGTTCATTTTCCATAATTTTTATTCACATTTTGCACAATAAATACTCCATGTATATAACTTTATGATTGACATAAATCATAAAGATTTTTATCTAAAAAAGCTTTAATTTGTCATGTTGGACAATATTTTAGATCGTTAAGCGCTTTTCTAAAACGTTATAAGAGATTTTTTTTTTCATTTTTTTACATGCATTGGTTATCAATTGCATTTCATTTAAATCAGTTTATAACCAATAAAAAAGTTTAATTGTCTAAAATCTTTTTTAGTATTTCTTTGCTAATATTATGCTTATTTTTTTGGTCAGATTTTTGCCATGTTTGGTCAGACATTTTATAACCGATATTCACTGCAAAATACATATTTAATGGGATGAAACTAGTTTTGGTTCCAAATACTTGCATTTGTGGACTATATAACCACTTTTATACCACAACAACTGTCAATAAAGCAATTTTTTGTATTAAATTTATTGATGGCTCAGTGGTTAAGTGGCTATCATCAGAGTTTGTTTTTTTTTTTTTTTTTTTGGGGGGGGGGGGTTAAGACCTCCTCTTAGCGTAATAAATTTTGAAATTTTTTTAATCTTGCTTATATATTTATAGCAAAATATTTTCTTCTGACGTTTTGATGCTTTTAGAATTTTTAGCTTTTTTAAAGTATTTTGTATGTTAAAGGTTGTAATATCTGTTATAATATGTTGGGGGGGGGGGGTTAAGACCTCCTTGTTACATATGTTTGTATATAATCTCTATAAAAGTTCAAAAATATTATGTATTTTAAAATAATAGAAAAAAATTTAAAAAATAAAGTCATTAGTAACAGGACTCAAACCACAGCTTTTTTGTTCAAAAGCTATGTGCGTTAACCACTCGGCCAAGCTGGCACATTGTCTCACGAAAATTTTTAAAACAATATAATAATTTTTAAAACGGAAATAAATGTTACAGTTCAAAATTAAGCAGATGTTGCCGTGATGCAGTTTTCATATGAAAGTCAAACTTGAAACATAGTAAAACTTGATTTATGTTTCAGTATGTTTTAACATTACATAATTTCAAGTTTATGTACGTTAGATACTTGCACACACTTTCGTTCACGTTTTCTTGTAACAAAGAGTGCTGCCACTCTTTCTCGCCACTACCTCGGTTGCAATGGCTACCAAGGGTTCCGTGTCAATCACGCTCAAAAGCGCACTAACACTACTTTTAAGTTCAGTATATATTAATATAGAGATTTTACATTTTTTGATTAACTTTGATTATGGTGCATACAGTTGCACAAAAAGATATAAAACTGATACAGATATATCTTTTCACGGATAAGAGTTTGTATTTATTACTTTAGTATTAAATAAATAGTTTTAAAGAAATAACAAAATACTATATTTAGTTTATATATATTCTACTTATTTTTGATAAAAAGAATTTTCCTAAAATATTTAACTAAAATCTTAGTTAACTTTTTTCGCCACAAAGTGACGTCTCTTACAGTATACGCAAAAAAATTAAGAAATTTACGTAATGAAGGTGACTTTTAATGTAGGTTATTGTAATGAAGGTAATTTTAGCAATCAGAAATTATTAAGAGAGGGGTAAATCTTTTTTTTTTTTTAATTTATTTTAGGTGCCCTAACAAGTCCTGCCCTAACAAGTCCAAGCACCCCGCGAAAGAACATGTTAAAGGAAGTTCATAGTTCTTAAGGAATTCTCCTTCCTTACTGATGCTATAAAACTTGCCTAGAGGTGGCATTGAACCCTGACACTCTAGCTTCTGAGGCAAGCGCACTAACCACTGCGCTCCGGCTGCTAAAATTGAAGGTATCAAATTCTCCACTGGAATGAGCTCATCCAAGTGGAAAATTGATTAATCAAATTTTAAAAAATTGAAAAGATTAAAAAAACACGAAACATATTGTCTCATGAGACAATACGTTTCGTTTTTTTTCAATCTTATTAATTCTTTTTAAATATAATAACATAAATAAAAAAGTTCAAAACAAAACAGCTTGAGTAAAAAAGTCTTTTAATTATTAGAAAAGTTTTCTTATATTACAGACAATCCTGTATTAAAACTTTATAAATGGATTTTTTACATTTGCATATAACGTATGAAGACCATACTGGTAAAATCACAGATGTCCACTTTTTGAAAAATTTTAAGCTAGATATTTTTTTAGATATTTTTTTAGTACAAAGCTATTTTAATTTAAAAATTTATTACAAAAAAAAAACTATTTTTTATGTCCTATGGTCTATAGGTTCTACGGTCATTTAAAAAAAAGGTAACTTTGAAACAAACACTTTTGTCCAATGCTTACCGCGTAAAAAATATAGTTGTCCTAAAATATCTAAGAAATTTCTTTTTTTTTTTTTAGAAGACGCAAATGTGGTACAAAAATATTTCAACTTACCCCCACCCCCACTAACACAAAAAATTTTTGGATCAGTCGTATATAACATTGCAGTTAGGGGTTCTCCATAACGCACGTACGCTTCTTTTTTCGACCTCCCCCCTCCTGCATTTTGCCATACGCTTTTTCGAGTACCCTATGCCTCCCAAAAAGTATCTACGCTTTTAACCTTCCAACCCAACATTTTATAATATTTTTTTTAATTTAGTGTCTTCATACTTTTATAATTGACCATCTGCCCTCTCTTCCCCCCCCCCCCCCCCTACCATCTCATATTTGCTATTTCGCGAGGTTAGAATTATTTTGTTCTATCTCCACATTTTTTTGGTTCGAGATAAAACGATTTAAAAAATAAAAACTTTAGGAGACGGCATATAAAAAGATTTTTATTACTTATATTTTCTCCGAAACTTTTTTGATTTTAACGTAGGTTTTAATATAGTAGAAAAAAATTATTTTGAGGTACATTACACAATTAATAACTCATTTTTTTCAAAAAGTGGAGATAGAACAAAATAATTCTAACCTCGCGATTTGCTGATCCCCTCTTCCTCTCCGAGCGTACATACTTTATGGACAATCCCTTATCTACTTTTTAAGTACTATGAAATAGAAAATTTAAAATGCTCAAAATAACAAAGTTTTCAATTTCAAAGTTCTTTCCCCAGAGTTGTCAATAACTGGTGTAAGATTGATAACTCTAAAATTAAAGGCACATGATTCATTTAAAAATCAATTCAATAAAAATCAATAACAAGCAATAAATTTTATGACTATATGGGAACTACTCATCAAATCAAGAAAATGAATTATATACTGATCAATTCTTTAAAATATTTGGAAATAAAGCCAAGTCAAATATAATTATTTAATAAACAGGGGTGGGTAAAGGGAAAAAAAGTATTATCAGTTAGCATGATATTATATACTGATATAGAATACAGAGATGTAGTAAGTAGGGCTATAGACCCCGCAAATAAAATTGACCTCCAAAAAAAATAGCCTTGGGCTACAAAAACTCATAACCTGCTACTGTTATTTAGTGTTGATAATAATAGTAATTATTATTATTAAATATCGTAATTATTAAATATAGTACAACAAGTATGAAATACAACCAATAAAGAAAAAAATGTATTTGGTAATTTTTATATATTTTGTTGTATTTTGCTTCTCTGTTTTTTTATTTTTTGTCTAATATTTTAATCTCTTACATATATATTTTCACATTATTTAGACTTTTATTTTTAATAATTTATTTCTGTTTATAGGGTTAGTTTTTAATGGTGTGATTTAAGAATTCTTTTTTATAACCTTTTTCTTTAAACTCGTAATTAATGGATTAGCTTCCTTGTTCGTAGTATCCAAACCCAGCACCCCATTTTTTCAAAAATGGAATAGCAAGATATTCCAACATGTGTAACTTTGATAACACTGAATCATATAACCAGTTAGCACAATAAAACTGTATTAAATCAGCAATGTATTTTTCTAAAGATAAGTATATAGTAATAGTAAAAAACATATCTCTTTTATTTAATATAAATTTTATTTCTCAAACATACTACAAACACTTTAATATGTATACTAATATAGTACCCTATAAACTACTTATCAGCCAATAATTTTTTAAGAATATCTGATCTAAAAACAAAACGTTTGAAATAATATACTTTCAAAAATATCATTTTAGTTCTAATATCCTTTACTTTCTATCCAAGATTATCAAATTGCGTGCTCTTGTTCATCTATTAAATTGTCTGTTTCTCTGAAATCACACACAAGTTACCCTACCTCTTCCAATCTGTTATTTCTTTTAGTAACCTTAAATTTTATATCCTAAATCATTGTTTAGTATGGTAATAAATCATAAACCAATGCATAAAATCATGGAATAATTTACCTGTTCGCTTTAAATCACTAAACTCTATTACTAAAACCAGTCTTTATGCCCTATTTTTTGGAGAGATGCTGCTTGTATAATATTGGGCTTATTGTGGCTTATTATTATTACTTTTGGTGTTATTTTATGTAGCCGCAAAAAACTACTAACTTTCCAACAAAGGTCTGCCAAAGCAGAAAAAACGATATCGAGCCTATACTGACCCGATATCGATATACTGGTCTTGTAATAGCTAGCCTGTGCCAGTAAATTCATTTAAAGACAGATAAGTTCCGTTATTGGATTTCACCTTTATATAATTTTCTGAACTGTGCCCAGTTCATAAAATTTTATAAAGGTGAAATCCAATAAAGAAACTTTATCTGTCTTTAAATGAATTTACTGGCACAGGCTAGCTATTACAAGACCAGTATATTTTTTCTGTCTGTGTAACTATTCCTGATAACGCGCTGATCAGCATAGTGATATGAAAAAATTCATCGAATATGCTTCTAACACCTTTACATTAGAACAACGTCCAATAGCGTTGTTTTTGGTTTTTTAATTGGAATTTTCACCATTGGATATGATTTGTTCTAAACAAAACTAAAAGTATAGAAAAAATTCTTATGTTAACTTTAAAAACTAATATCCTGAAGATCCGGACGCATATTTCATCCCAGTAAGCACAAAGACGTTTAAAAGACGTTTTAAAGATGTCTTTAAGGAGGTCTAAAAGGCGCACTTGTAGACGTCTAGATCATAAGGCTAAAAGACGTCTAAATGAAGACGTCTTTATAAAAACGCGTTTTAGACGTATTTTTCAAGATGAATTTAAGTACATGACGTAACATTTTTGCGTAGTATGTGGTATATATTCATTATACTCATAACGTTATACAATAACATAGATATTGTTATAATTTCGTATATACAAGATATACATAGTAACCAGCAGTCAAAATAATATTGCTGTAATCACCACTAACGGTTGATGCATCAAAGATGAAAATAATAAATAACAATAGCAAATATATATCAAAGCAGTATTTAAAACATTTATAAATAACCTTTAGTTATGATAAAATTTATTCAATTTCGTATTAGCTAATTTTTGACCGCATACTTGACTTATTATATGGCGTGTGGGTGTATAAAAACTAAAAATACTGATATTTAACTTATTTATTATTCTTGCCATTTTCACTTATTATCATGATCAGTCAACTATCTATTAAAAAAGCAAAATAATTATTAATAAAAAAAAGATATATTAATATTATAGCAATTGTTTTAGTGATTTCTGTGACAACAGTTTTAGCAATTGTGTAAAAAAGTAATTTAATTTAAAGTAATTTACACTTAAAACTTGAACAAATTATTGAAAATAATAAAAACTATGTTTTTACTTTGAATAAACGACATCTACTTAACTTAATGACAAAGCCGTCAAAAAGAAGTCATAATGACATATTTATAAACAGGTCTCAGAAAAGACGTCTTTTAGCCTTATGATCTAGACGTCTTTTAATGTGTCCTTTAGACTATTTATTATGCGTCTTTTGAACGTCTTTTTAAACTTTAAAAAGACGCATTTTAAACGTCATTTTAAAAACGCAAAAAGATGTCTTCAAAACGTCTATAAAAGTGCGTCTTTACCTAGACTAGTTTTAGACGTCTATAAGTGTCGAAAATGCGTCTTGTGCTTACTGGGATTGTACCGTCCCAACGTAAGACTTTTTGTCGGTCTGCAACGATGCAGGCACTCTTTATTTGCATTCTATTTCTACATATTTTTAAACCCACTACTGCCATTGTCAATCTTGCTGTTTTTACGCAACATTTTATAATGTATTACAAAATGTTGCGTAACTGTTGTTGAATAATTGTAGTGTAATTTTTTTGGTTTCAAAAATTATGAATTATATAAAAAAATAATGAAGTATGTAATAATAAGAATAAACTTTAGAGTTGTCTATGTTAAATCTGCAAACCAATAAACTGAATGAAACTAACTTAAATAGAGTAAAATACCTTGAAAATGGATGCTTGTCTTCTAAGCCTCTAAAAAAATGAAAACAAAAGTAATGAGTAATCTTATTTCCAACCCTAGATAAGCCCAATTGTTAGCCATATTATAAGAAAATTTGTATATGAAACACGTAAATATTGTGTATAAACATGTTTGATTTATTAAACTAAACTTATTTTTTTTAAATAAGTTTTCAGAAGAAGTACGTAATGGTAAACCTAAATAAAGTAAAAACTCTTTGAAAAAATTAATGCTTTAATACTAAAAACCATTTTATCATTGGTTTATTAACCATTTTATCATTGGTTTATTGCGCCATTATTAGGCCATTTTAATATTAAGTAGCAATAAGTTCAGAGCACCCATTGTTGTCGTTTTTACAATTATTTTCATATATAAATTTTGTTTTATTTGATAAGTAATGTGAAGCTGGGGATGCCAAAAAAATATATACTACCCATACCTAATCAGTATTTATATTAAGTGACAAATAATTCCAAGTAATAATTTAAATGTAAGAAAAAAATTTTTTTAAAAATTAACAATTTCTAAATTAAAAACTTTAATTAAAAAATTTCTTTAAAAGCTTATTACGATATCAGCGCCATTTTTACGGCAACATCTATACAACGTTAGGGAATCAGGAAATGAATGTTCTGGGTCTTTAAAATATAGATTGCCTTTTTAATCGTTAAAGTATTCTCGAAGTCGGAAAGTCACGTAATTACAAAAAATAACAATAGTGTAAACTGTTACCATCTTGGATGGGGGAAAACAAATGGTTAGTTGAGTTAATAAAGCTGGAGAATTCGTACGAAAATATGAACTAAAGAGTTTGAAAAAATAAATTTCGGTTTATGAATACTTTGAAATATTAGATTTTAACGTCGTAGAAAGGTATATAAACAAACCTTTAATCCTTTAATCATACTTGGAAAGGCAATCCAACTCAATGGCCATAAGTTCAATACCATGATGTTTATAATTATTTAATTAAAAGTCCTAGAATATTTTTTCTTGAGGCTATAGATAATTACAAAGCATTAGATATATTATAAATATTTTGTCTCTGGTTCGATGTAGGAAGTTTCTCATACGATATTGAGGACTGGTTTGTTGTTTTGAAAATACAAGTTGCCTGACTTGTGCTTTCAAAATAACAAAACCATCTTACATTATAGTAAAAACAAACCGTTAAAAAAATAACACTAAAAAGCGAAGCCTTATGAATTCTTATAGTTTTGTAAATGAAGCTAAGCAATGGATAATAGATCCTAACGAAGTTCAAATTTCATTTGATATAGTCAATTTATATCCATTCATACCTATTGATGAAGCAAATCCGGTTATTATTAATGTATTGAACATTGATGATTTAAAAAATTGAACTAAACATACTCTTGCAGACACACACCAATTAATTGAACTTTCATTAAGTATATGCTATTTTATTATATGAAAACAATATCCAAATAATACCTAATTCAGGTCCTATAGGTTTATCTTTAATGGTTGTTATGGCGGAATCGTTTTTAAAAAATATAGAAAGAAAGGCCCTTAACATAGCAATTGTTCATAACTCCCAATTTAAAAAATACTTTTTCCAACAATAAAACTAAACTACCACAAAACACAGACCCTGGCGTATACCAGTTAAAATGTTCATGCGGTTCGATATACATTGGTGAAACTAAAAAGAAGGCGATATCGAGATGTACTGAATACCAGAAAAACAGCTTAAAAGAAAAATGGTCCAGTTTAAGTGCAACTGAATATTCCAAAACATGCCATGGTAAGTTTGATTGGTTGCACCCCAAAACATTATCTGTAGCACCAGAATATCGAACTCGGAAAATCAGAGAGTCACTCAAAATAAGCAAAGCTAGGGTTCGAGAAATGGTGATGTGTTTCTTAATCGGGATGACTGTGATAACGTGACAACTAAAACCTGGGGGCTATTTTTTAATAAAATCTGCTAACGTCAGTTACTTGAAAAGTTTTTTTGTATTATAATTTGGCTTTTTAGTGTTATCTTTTTAACGGTTTGTTTTTACTATAACGACTTTTTTGTTACTATTTTATTTATTATACCTGATGACGCTGATCACGATAGATCAGCGAAATATCGAAAAAATTATAAATTAAAGAAAAAATATATATAATTAAAAAAGTTTATACGCAGCCATATATGTATATATATATATATATATATATATATATATATATATATATATATATATATATATATATATATATATATATATATATATATATATATATATATATATATATATATATATATATATAATATTTATATTCATACGTATATGTGTATCAAAAATCATCTAAAGACACCTAACCAAAATGGTAGCTGTTCGCGGCAAAGATTATGACGTATTTCCGACTGCGAGAACTGGTATTTCAATAATAAGGTATAGATAACGTTTTAATACTAAAGTTATTTTTATTAACAAAAGTTGTTTCAAATATTCAGTTAACTAAAAACGTTTATGTAAGGATTTTTAAAAAATATAATACAGCACTATCTCTCTAATTCAAATCTCCTTAATTCGAAAAAGCTTAATAAAATAATCCTATAAAAATGTTCATAATCTTAAAAAAAACTGTAAAAGTTTTAATGAGTTTTATTTTATATCAGTTGATATTTAAAAAACAATGATAATGTTTTTAGAAACAAAATTTTTTCAATGTTTTGATAAATTTTATTTATTTTTTGCTATTTTTGATACTGTAATTAATTGCGGTGACAACTGTTGTATCGGAAATAAAAAGACAACAGTTATTTTTTTTTTCCCGAAGTAACAATTTGATGCGCCCATTCCTAAAGGAATGATTTTTTCTGTTAACGGATATACAAAGAAATCCGTTTTATTTTGGTTTACAAAGAAAATTAAAAAAACTAATAATTATGTGGTGAAACATCTCATTAGTTTTGTGCATTATATGTATTATGCCTACATTCTATATTATTCACTTATTTGCTGAGGAAACAACAAGACTTTTTTTGCAATATTCCAATTCCAATTTATGTTTTCCGCTGTTTTTTATCCGTATAAATATTGTTTTGGGTTTAGCTTTACACAAACGGCTAATTTTTCTGTTTAAAATTATTAGTATTTATTAAAAACAACGTTTAAAATTATTATTTGTTTGAAAAATGAGCACATCTTCATTAGATGGTGTAATGGTTATTGATAGAAGACGACTGTCAGCTCAATCAAATGCAAAAATTCAAAGAAGGACTAGAAGGGTGTGCGTTTTGGGGCCGTCTAGAAGTGGTAAAAGCTGTTTAATTAAACGTTTTCTTAACAACACATTTAGCGAAATTTACTTTCCAACAATTGAAGAATGCTATAATCTAGACTACGTTTACAAAGGTTATAACCTTAACTTGGACGTTATTGATACATGTGGAGCATATGTATTTCCAGTTATGAGAGACTTAAATATTAAAAAAGCTGATGTTATAATAGCAACTTATGAAATAAATGACAAGTTATCAATTAAAGAGTCTATTTCAATATGCAAAAAAGTGCTTGAAATTCGCCAAGATGTAGTTCCTGTTGTACTTGTTGGTTGCAAATCAGATTTAAATGGAGAACCGAGAGAGAACAATGATTACATCAACGAAGAATTGAACTTGTTAGACCCCATAAACATTAAGCATGTGTTAACGTCATCCAAATTGAACATAAATGTTAACGATGCTTTTGAAGTTGGTTTTGATGATGTCATCAAAATTGTTTCTAAAAAATCATTGACGTCATGCGAAAACTACTTTAAAAATCCAAATAAAAAAAAAATGATTAATTTTTGCATTACGTGCTAGCTGAACAGGAATGATAAATAAACTTTAGATTTAAGTTTAAGAATTTTTATTTTTATATAAAAAAAATAAATAAATAAAAAGATTAAGCGCAAACAATTATGTGTGGGAATGTAGAGCTTTTTGTTTAAAATAAACTGTAATTATACGACAACGATTTTAATGCAATAAATTTATTTACGACAATATCGTTAAACGATTGTAAACTAGTATTGTAAAAAACGATTGTAAATTAGTATTTTAAAACTGTATTAAAAACTATATTTAAAAACTCGGGGTAAAACTGATCACTATTTTTAAATTTAACCTTTTTATTTTGAAGTGAACTTATTAAACTTGTAGTAAGAGATACATAAAGAAATATTGCTTAGAAGAAATAAATTATTACTTGTTATATTTTATTAAACTTTTTAAAACTTTTCTTTGCATTTTTTTGGAGGAAATAACAAATTTTATTTATTGCTACAAAACTGTCTTTTTAATTTTTTGTTTTTTATCTTTATTTCCGAGACGAAATTTTTTTGAAAAAAAAAAAAGATTTTACACCAAGATTTCAGAATTTTTTTTTGGCGGTTCTTTGAATCCTTATAAAATTTGAGAAGTCGTTAATATATTTATATATATTTATCTTTTTCTATATGTATTTTTTTACATTATCCCTTTATCCAATAATACCAATCTTGCATGCAGTATTTTTTTTTAATAAGTTTTTAAATATATATTTTAAATATAAAAATATGTTTTAAATATAAAAACGTTTCCATATGAAATAAAACTTAAATAAAAACATTTGCTAAAATTGATTAAACAAAATTCTATTAAACTATTCCAGAAAAAATAACAACCTCCGTTACCAATTATTAAAACATAAGAGCATTGAAAACGAAAACAAATTCAGAAACTGTAAATATTTATACCGAGGCCTTCTGAAAAACGAAAAAAAACACAACAATTTTGTAAAATTTTAGCAGCCTTGGTGTAGTGGTTAGAGTTCTGGCTTTAGAACAAGAACTGGACATTTGACGAAAATAAAAAAGACGTTATAAAGTCTTTTTTGGTGGTAATGTATAAAAGAGTATTTGGTATATCTTGTCCACGTGTTTTATTTAGGGTAGGACTGGCTTTTAATCCTGTAGAACCCATAAGCTAAATAGCTTACGGGTTAGCTAAATTTTTATGTTTAAATAATGACTTGCTTGCGCGAGTTAATAGCACTGCTTTGTACTTGGAATAAAACTAATCAAATTTTCGAGTAACTTTTATTGAGTGACTTTTAAACAAATTACTGTAATTCTAATTACAGTAATTTGTTTTAGTAAATCAATTAGAATACGTTTTAATATTATTTATTCATGCAAGCTTTTGATTTTTTTTGTTTTTTTCTATTACCACTTACCAGTTTTTCTAAAAACTTAACTCGAAATTACTCGAAAATACATTAAAAATGTCTGACAATTCGATAAATGTTCAAAAATCAATAGAGTTATTTTTCTTAAGTCTAAAAAGTGCCCTTAAAATAATTATTTAACTTAAAAATCCAAAACAAAAAAAAGTTACTTTTGTCCAGTTTTAAAGCTTTTCTGCCCCACTGTGAGGTGGTCCCTGGTTCAAAGTCGGTTTTGGCCGTATATGCAAAACTGCTATGAAAGGAGACGTGAACTTCCTGTTCTAAGGTACTTTGTAATAAGATCGTAAAGACTTCTTGAAGAACCAAAATAAAAACACGATATGCTAAATCTAACTTTTAAATAGAAGTAAGAGATCATTTGGTCTCTTGCGCAGAGATTTCATTCAACATAAAGCGCTATATTACTATAAAGATCTTTCTGCAAGAAAGCCAACGATCTCCTACTTCTATTTAAAAGTTAAATTTAGCGTGAGGTACTTTATGAATACACCTAACAAAATGAATTGAAACAAAAGTAGTTCTTCACCTCTCAATATTAGTATTCATAATATTAATATTTACTGGTCAACGCAAATCTCAAAAGAGTTTAACAATTACTTATGTTGCACAGTGGGTCAGAATGTACTGAAAGTTATCAAAAATAAAAAAAACCATTGTATATAGTCATATTACATATCAAAAGGTTTTTAGAGCCAGGGAATATATTTCTGACATTGAAATTGAATTTTGACTACTCTTCCGGCGTGCTTAATGGTTTTTAGGGTCAACTTACATGATATTCGCGTCCTATGATATTAAAGTTGAGTTTTAACCACTCTGACAAGCGGCTTAGTTACATAATATTTCTGTGTTTAGTAGCATATTTGTAGCAGTAGTGGGGTTCGGATTAGGATTTTTAGCACAAAAAGTGCAATATGTGAAATTTGTATGCAATAATATATTTAGTTTTGCATAATCAAACTGTTTTTTCGATTTATTTGTTTTTTAATGGTGATGTTTCTAGAATTTAAAAAATATGCGAAATAGCATATTTTTTAATTTGACAACATCCAGTTCCGGGGGAAGGGAGGAGCAGTCAAGTGGAGTTAGACAGTCTTTTTACTAAATGTTAGATTAAGTATTAAAAAATACTTTTAAGTTGATTTATCCCACGGTGGTACGAAACACTAAAATCCATAACTGCAAAGTTTTTTTTTGGGTGAAAAACGTATAAAAAGTATTTTAAAAAACCTACTAAAAGTAAAGGTTTCTGTTTTTTTGAAATAACTATTAAAATATAGGTAAATATTTTGAAATTCCATAAGAATGAATTAATCTGAAAGTCTGTATTATGTAAGTCTGTATTACGTAATATTATAATATTACGTAACTTTCATAATTATGAAAGTTTGTAAATCTGTAAGTCTGTATCGCCATTATTCAGATATTTCACGTTTTTTGCACATATTTAAGGTCAAGACCTCAAATATGTGCAAAAAACTTGAAAAAGTTAAAAACCTTGCCTTTTGAAAGAATCATTAAAATATAGGTAAATATAGAGAAATATTTTAAAGTTTCATAAGTATAGATTATTTCGAAAAATGTAACCGAATTGTTAATATTTTCAGATAATTCACTTTTTCACACATATTTAACAATTTTTGAGTTTGACGTACCCTAAAGGCAATAAAAAATTGATCAAGGAGATTATAAAATAATACACTCTTTACCGCACGGGAATGCATATCGAAAAAATCAATATATAAACTTTAGTTTTGATGGCTTATTCCGTTTAAATTTTTCTAATAAAAACAAAGTTCTGGTTAACTTATTTAAAACCTATTAAAAAGTTTCCAACAACAACTTATAATGTGAAAGTGAGTTAACGGTAATAAAACTTGAGGATGTGCACTTATCTTTAAAAATAAATCATCGCATTTTCACGGAATATCAACCAATATATTTATTTCAAATAAAAAACTTCAAAAAGCCTTTGTATCTGAAATTTTAAATAAACTAAGGTCTACTTCCTGATACATTAAAATTAGCTAAAGTTTACCCGATCTGTAAAAGAAATGATAGTTCCAATAGTTTCCCAATTATAGACTTATATCAGTATTATCCATTTTCTAGAAAATATTTAAACACGAACAAAACATTTTTTTGAATTAAAAGGTACCTTACTGATCGAAAACAATATGTTATGAATACCTATAATATTTTGTATAGAATTTCACAAATTTCAATCCTCGGCCCTTTATTTTTAATATATATAAACGAATTCTATAAAGCATCAGCAAATTTAAATTCAATTTTGTATATTGATGATATTAATTTGTTTATGCCCTACAGTGGTATAATTTAGCTATATGGAGGTATGAACATTATGGATATATGAGTATAGAGTTGATGAATAATAAGCAATTGTTTAAGTGAAAACAAACTCTTAATAAATGAATAATATTTATAAACTTAATAAAACTCAACATACAATAAAACAAGAAAATCTGCCATTTAAATTACAAAAATCATTTCACAAATGATAAAAATTACTAAAATCTTTAAAATAGTTAAGAAGTTAATTAGAAGCTAAGGGGTCGTCCATAAAGTACGTACGCTCGGAGAGGAAGAGGGAGTGTACAAATAGCATTTCTGAGATAAGAGGGCAGTAGGTCAATTATAAAAGTATGGAGACACTAAATTAAAAAAAATACCATAAATGTTGGGTTGGAAGGTTAAACGCGTAGATACTTTTAGGGAGGTAGAGAGTAATCAAAAAAGTGTATGGCAACTTGCGGAGGGGGGGGGGGGGGGGAAGGAAGAAGAGGGGTAGCGAAAAAAAAGCGTACGTATTTTATGGACAACCCCTAAGAGAAGTTTTATTGATAAAAACTTCTCGTAGCTTACTTAATTAAAACAATCTGCATAATGTACCAAATAAATCATAAACTCAAAATCTTTAATTTGTATACTTCAGCTTAACTCATAGCTAGGTTAATTATGGTAATACTGTGTGGGGTAGCACACAACCTGGTAAACTTGATATAGTACTTGAACTTAATGATATTCGCATATACAACCACAAGTTATAAATTATTGGCATTATAAAAGGAACGGTTGTCAACAAACAACTAAATAGCTTAATATATCGTTTTAGCCCTACTTTATCCTATACTAATGGTATATAAACCGTGATATACGCAATACCCTAGCTCCCTTGCTCTATGTGTTTGGCCTTTTTGTAATCTAAATTTGTCAAGCTACATGCTGCTTGCGCAGTATGTTAAAAAATATAGTATTGTGTATAAATACCAAATCTAGCAGCAAGCACAGAAGCTTGTTGTGTTTTTATTTAAAAAATCGGTGGCTTTAAAAACTAGAGTAAAATACCGCAATTTTTTAAATACAAACATGTTCATGTTGTTGATAAGACCAAAATAGCGCATATTAAATTACTCTATAGCTTTTTTATCATTATCGATTTATTTATAAAATAATATATAAGATATAAAATGTTTTGTATAGCTCAGTATTATTAGGGGCCTATTTTAGTTTAAATTTAAATATCCGTTTCCAAACATATTTATAAAAAACTGAATCAACTCAGTTATTAGCGATATTTAAATGTGCAAAGTTTGGGAAGTTTGGGAAGTGACTTTTCAAAATTCACGGTAAAAAAAATCAGACAAAATATCGTCTACGCGTTGATAAAAATAGGATCTAAAAGAAAACTCATTTTTATTTACAATAAAATAAGATTTTAGTATTAGGGGAATAGGAGTTTAAGAAAATTTAAAGTTTACTTTCTCAAATATGCTTTTTCATTGGTTTTACATTCTACCTTTAATGTTCACACATCTACCACTTAATATATTTTTTAGTTTTTGTCAATATTTTTTTACATTTAAGACGACTTTTTGTTACTATAGTTATAAAATTATACAATAGTCTTTGTTTAGTCATGCGGAAATAAACGCTAGG